CGGCCTCCATGAGAACGATGTACTCGTAGACGGGATGTCCTTTCGTGACGTACACCAGAAGCCAACTGAAGACACCGATGAAGCCGTGGATCAATGTGTCGCTCAACGCTATGGCATAGGCCTCGACGCCTGTCGGTCGCCGTCCGATGGATAACAGCTGATCCCCGATCGCCGACACGGAGACAATGGCCGCACAGATGGCCACGTATTTCACCGGTTGGGCGAAGACTTTGATGTATTTGATTAGCATTTTGTTTAAAACTATAATTAATGGCTTTTATTGTTATTATCGCTATTGATATCACATTTTGGACGATATTTATAGGTTTTAATTAAGTTTTTATAAACTAATTAAAAGTTTTAATTAATTAAAAATCACTTTTAAAGTCATGTTATTATTTGCGAAACACTTTTTAAACTGGAGTTTCATTTGTTATGAAACGTAATGTTTATGTGATTTTCAAATGGTATGTATTGTGCGGTCAATACAACACTAGCGTAATGTTATTGCAATACACAGTCAGTGATAAGCTCTGTATAAATACTAGTGTTGTTTAGACACCAATAACTTGTTTATACAGTATAACTACGATATAAATACAATTTATAGTTAATTAATTAATTAAACAGTAATTCCGATGAAAACACTACACAATTATAATTAAAACTAATTGTTTTAAATAGTAATAAAATTTTAATTAACAACTATACGGACACAACCCATAAATATGTAACACAAAACGCGTAACTCAAACCGTGGGTCGACTGTATCGGTGCAGTCCTTGGGCTTACGCAACACCACATGTATTGAGACGATTGATAGACAAGTTTTTATCGCTAGATATCGTCTAATCACTGTTTTTTTTTTGCCACAAACATCACCACCAAATCAATCCCAAGAACTCTTCAGCTGATTATCACTCGTGTGAAAAACTATGGCAACGTTTAACAGTGTGAAAGGTTTAGTCGCTTTTGTCACCGGCGGCTCTTCAGGTCTGTAGTAACCATAACCTCCTCCTCAGCCTATGATTACCACATGTGATGATAATCTTTTCTCTTTCTATGTGTTTAGGTTTAGGCAAAGCCACTGTCGACCGACTGATCCGTTTGGGCGCCAAAGGTGTGATCGCTTTCGACCGCAACATTGAGACTAAGTTTGACGCCAAGAATGTGGTGTCCGTCGAGGGAAGCGTTACCTCCGAAGAGGATGTGCTCAAAGCGCTGGACGCGTGTGAGAAACAGTTCGGACGACTCGATGCGGTCGTCAATTGTGCCGGTATTTTGCCCATCAGTTGCGGAACCACTCAATCACTTGTTTATTAACTCTCTCTCTCCCTCTCCCACTCACTCACGCATTGATCACTGGATCCGTTGCCCACATGTGACAGGCATTGGAATCGCCCGCAAGACATACGACTTCAAGAGGAAAGTGCCGCACCCTTTGGACGAGTTTAAAATGGTTATTGAGGTGAACACTATCGGCACGTTTAACGTTAACCGATTGGCCGTCGGTCTCATCGGTAAGAACCAGAAGGTGAACGAACTGAGAGGTGTGATCATCAACACGGCATCGGTGGCCGCCTTCGAGGGACAGATTGGTTAGTAGTTCCCCACCATTAGTACTATATGTGTATTGTAACCAATTGTCTCGTGTGTGTGTACTCGCAGGTCAAGTGGCGTACGCGGCCTCTAAGGGCGGTATCGTCGGTATGACTCTACCCATAGCCCGCGACTTAGCTCTTGAGGGGATCCGCTGCGTGACAATAGCGCCCGGACTGTTCAGCACACCCTTATTGGCGTCACTGCCAGAGAAGGTGCGCCAGAATTTGGCCGCAACTGTTCCCTGTCCTCAACGACTGGGCGAACCCGAAGAGTACGCCCACTTAGTCCAGACCATCATCGAGAACCAGATGATCAACGGCACGACCATCCGATTGGACGGCGCTATACGTATGCAGCCGTGAGTTTAGGTGACAAATGTCTTCAGCGAGTGTTAGAGAGATTATCTCATATTTTGTACTCAACTTTTTTTGTACTTCAAATCAAAGATTTGATTGTTTTTTAATTACTATTAGAGAGACTTATTCTCACACTTATAATCAATTTAGTAGAAAATTATTGAATATAATTATGAATTGATATGAAATTATAATTACGATTAAAATTATATTTTCCGTTGAAATGAATTGCAAACAGTGTTTAAAAAGTTTTTTCAATTTATTAATACGAAAATAGTTATCAAAAATAATTTTTGCGGTTAAATAACACATATAATTAAATATCAATTATCATTAAGTAAATGGTAATCTTATAATGGTATGGATTTTGAATCCATGACTGGAATCAATAGCTGCCCATAAGATTATAATGGATATATCGGGTGTCAAACAAAGACATATATATACCACACATTACTTGTATTGGACAACATATACATGATGTTTGACACCCGAAGAAGTAGACACCGAATCACATTAACCACCCGCTGGAAATCATCACCACTGGAACCGATCACAACTTCTTGTTCTGTTTGGGTTTCGTTGACTTCTTGTTGTTGACGTGTTTGATGTGTTCGGTCTTAATATGTTTGGGCGCGTCCGGCGTCGGTATCATTGTTGTGGTCGTCTCCGTATCGTTGGGCGGATTGATCCGCATCTGGCGTTTTGATAGACAGTGTCAGACATTAGTGTTAAAACTCACACAAAACTAAGTGTCTAAAAAACGGGCGGTATGTCTGGTCAGTGATCAGGTGTAGGGAGGGGTTGGGTAGACATAGAAATATACATCTATGGGTTTTTAACAGTGGTGTGAAATATGAGTACACTTTTAATACATTTGTATTTAAGGCAAAGAGTATTTAAGATAAGACAAAGTTAATGACAGAGAGAGATAATGAAATGGTAAACAACGAGATAATTATTATTCATCGGGTGCGACAAATACCTCGATGCGTTGCTTCTCAGCGCAAGCGTATTCACTCTCGTCGATATCGTTATAACAGTCGGACTTAGCCTTCTTCGGCAGATCGTTGGGCCCGTATTCGCACAACTTGTCCAGTGGTATGGCTTTGACAATCATTTTGGACATATCGATGGGCTTCTCCTGCGGACAGTAAAACACTTTGGGTGTCTTCGGGTCGAACACAATGGACTTCCGCATCATATCGGCCGACACCACAGCCAACATCACCGCCGCCAACGCTATCACCAATTTATGGCCTAATGGTTGCGATGGATAGTCAAGTCGTATACATGTATTGTTTTAAGGAGTGTTTGAGTTTTCAATCCATGGGAGATATCATTGAGTATTATATTCAGTTAATTCTTACCCATTGTTTTATCAGTTGATCCCAATGTTAAACAATGACAGTTATAGTATTGATATAATTACTAAACTTTATGCTAAATTTATAATAAATACAACGAATTTAAAATATATTGTATAATAAAAATGGCATTAAAATTGTTTGCCAGAAATGGAGATTTTTTTGTGGACATTGAGTGCGAAATGTAAAGACATATATGAAAAGTAAAACCGGTTTTACATCTTAAGGCTGACGATGGATACGAAGGGCACTCAACTGTTCACTACCTCTCACTCCCAGTTCTCCATCCGCTCAACACTAATACCTAATGTAATTACATAACACTTGACATCATTTGCTATACCCCTTGTGTATTCAAATTGAATTATAAAATTTTGAGAGAGAGAGAGAGAGAGAGAGAGAGAGAGAGAGAGAGAGCGGAATTAATGCCAAACTCTAATGGTTTGCGTGTATTTATGCGCTAATGATGTGAAAGGATTGATGAATAAAGTAATCTTTAAATTGACAAAGAATTTTATTTATTCTTAAATATAAATATACTTTTATAATAATTTACAATTAAAAATATTTGAAAAATTATTTAAAAATATACAGAAATAGATTGGATTAAAATTTTTAATTTGATTTTGTAACTAAAGATTATTGTTATATCTTTTAAAAGTGTCTACACTTTAATAACCATGGTCTTTTTTAATTGAGCCAATACATGGTTATAGGCTAAAAGAGTCGTATCTGATAAAAATATACACGTTTTCTCATCCATCGGCACATTCTTGATCTCAAACAGGAAAAAACAAATGGCAAACATTTGGTTAATTAACACAAAGAATTTGATTTCATTTATCATATTCTCTGCAGAATTGTATGGTTTGAGTGAATACTTGTCTCCAAACAATTGCTTGCATTCATTGGTATAGCAATTGATGAATGACTTTATTATAGACTCGAAGGGAAAGTCTTCGGACAAGTCATTGGCGGTAATCAAAGCCGCGAAAAAACTTCCAAAATCAAAGCCACGGCTGCCATAAGACGTGAAATCAAAGTCATTTAAAATCACTTCATTGTTTTCAATGATGAAAAAATTTTGATTTCTGAAGTCATTGTGAGATAAGACGAGAGGAATATCAGAGAAGTGTTTCCCGATATAAGAGACAATCCATTGTAACTCTGATTTCAAATCAAAATCTAATAAAGCCTTGCAGTCATGCTTTACGTAAAGTAATTTCTGACTCTCTTTCCAATTGTTGTCCATTTGCTCTGCAATTGCTGTGAAATATACAGTAATCCAGTCCTCATTCCTAGCTATGGGTGCTTTCAATGAATGCAATTTTGCCAATGATTTCGCTAAATTGTCCATTAGTTTGCTGTCCTCTAAATCTTGTCTTTCAAACCTCCGGTGTTTTATATACTGAAGCAGTTGTCCGCTGGGGTCGAGTCCATACAGTTGTGGTCCTAATCCGGATTCAGAGATGAGGGACACTATAATGCCGTCATTGAATCGCGGATTCTTTGGATCAAAGTTCTTGAAGTCATACTTATAGCCATTCAACCGGATTATCACTTCTGTGGGCTCTTTCCTTCCCACTCCTCCCAAGTTATTATTCGTATCAATGATTTGACACAAATATATTTGATTAGTTATTCCTCCAGTAATACGAGTGATGCGGATGTCATCGACAGTCAGTTGAGACCAAATTCCCGCTAAATATTTGTGACACAACTGAAGACATGTCTTATTGATATCAATCGGTTGATCCCCTTTTGTCATATGGATGTGTTGTTCAAGAAATGCTGACAAATCTTTTACTTCTTTAGCCATTATTTGTATTTATAATTCACTGCTATATTTGTAATGCAAACAATTTTTATAAAAACTTTAGTAAATAAATTATAAATGATTTATATATTAAAATAACGACAGGAATCGCGTATACAATATATTATAATCAATTAAAATGATATGAACGTCAATAATTTAATATCTGTTGCTTATATAGTTCAGGATTAAGTATTACACTAGATTCATTGTGTAATTTCAAAATGACATTGAAGCCTTTTTGATGTATAAATGTTTTAATCTACTTAATGAAGGTTACCTAATCTACTTTATTTACACACTTATAAATAGACTGACCAAATGTCCAGGAATGACATGGATTGTACTGAATTAGATTACCTGGAATTAGAATTTTAAAATATTTTAAACATTTAGTCAATGGAAGCGCTCATGATAAAGTAACTAGTAACTAGGAAAATGTCCAGAGATTTAGGAATATAAGGTTGATTTTTCCCCAAAATCAAGGAGTGCTAAAAAATCATCTGGGCATTCTACTTCTGAACAACTTTATTAAATATATTTCACTGTAACTTAAATTATCAATATAATACCGGTATATTGCTGTTTTGAAACTACTCTCATGTTTTCAAGATTATTTTTATTATGATAAAAATGTGATTTGATTTTAATTAAAAAGAGAAAATGCTCTTCAAAAATTCAATCTAAACAAGTTAAACAATACAATCTTATAGTATTTAGCATGACACCTAAATACAATTATGACAATAAATATTTGCGAACAAGCTTAAATAGAAGTAATATCGATAAAATTAGTTTATACAATTAAGATCATAATTTCATTTTTGGTGCTGACATTATTATAAAAATCTATTTAAAGCCATTGACACCTTGTTCATTTTGACATTAAAAACAAAATAATTGCAACAATTGATAAACAGGAAATATTTGAAACTTAAAAACTTTATGTAATACTGAATAAATGTTAAAAATAATTGTTAAAAAGTGATTACAATTATAAACTTAAACTAGATTTAAAATTTACCAAACAATTAGTGCTAACAATAATTAGTAATTTAAATAACGATTAAAACGGTTAGTAATTAACGGTTAAAACTGTAATTGAGTTTAAACTGATTTAAACTGAAATTCACTGAAAACTTCTTCTAATTGATTGAAACACTTCTCGAAACCCAATCCAAGACTTGTATTATCTGTGAATTGAATCCATAAGTGATGTGTCGATGGATTTGTTGTTGTTTTGGATTTTGTGATAACAAAGAGAAGCAAAAGAAGAAAATGAAGTCAACGAAGAAATTGAGCGATAAATCAATGAAACCTTCGCTTAAAAGGGATGACAAGAAACCCGACGACAAGACCTCATCCAAGAAAGTGGTGACAGAAATGAAGACAAAAGTCGAGACAAAGACTGACAACAAAGTGGTGGACAACAGAAGAGGCGAAGAGACGGCCAAACGGATGACAGAAACCACTCCTCCAAAGGAAACGACATCTTATTATCCAAATGACAGAAAAGGGGGCAAAGAGTCGTCCGATTGGTCGGCATATCTGGAGAGGACAGCCGTACAGAACCCCAAACTCATCAAAATCTATAAGATTCCGGACAAAAGGTTTCGGACAAACGATGACTTGATTTCAAGTCTTGGCTATAAATTTCGCGAACAGTTAGGAAAAGGAGGCTTTGGTTTAGTTCACAAAGTCTTTAAGACCGGAACTAATGAAGTGATGGCCTGTAAACAGATCCAAATCAAGACCGAGAAGTGGGAGAAAATGGAGAGGAGTCTCATGCATGAGATTTATGTCCTCAAAAGGGCTAAACATCGGTATATTATTGGACTCTTTGACCACTTCCTCGTCGATAACGACAACCAAAAGATCGCTTATTTGTTCCTCGAGTTCGCCGACGGATCCACTTTACAGGAAG